TTGTCTACTGGAAAACAGTTCTAATGAATTGTAGAGTATGTTGTTACTTATTTTTCTATGTAACTAAGATATATCTTAATTGTATTCAACCTTAAAATATCTTTAGAGTAGTTGGTATCATTAGCTACAATGGCATGCTGATAATTTATTGTCCGAAAGGATATTAAGTTGATTTAACTTATCTGTTTTCTGGGCTCACTTAAATATCTTTACATACCACTGATCTGATAATGAGTAGGAACTTTGAGTTTCACAAGAAACTACATTTTTCATCTTACTTCATCTACCGTTTCTACATAAACAACATAATTGTAGTATATTTTAGGTTTTTCAGACACTACTCTTCATTAGGTACCTTTTTTGTAATATCTCGCTAATTATACTGTGTCTGTTTCAAAATCTTTTTAATTTTTATCTCGATTTCTCCCCTAATTAAACGCATATTTTAACTTCAAATCGCCAGTTTACCTTCTCAGAAATCACGATATAGCTTTGTTTTCAACTTAATGGTGTATCCCACTGTTTGATAACATTCTGCAGAGTGAGTTGTCTTCATAAAGTAGAGAACTGTTAATGTTTTCTTTTTTTAAAACTTGACCCACATAGTTCAAATATATCTCAGTATGCGAAAACCATCCTTATATAAATAACTTTGTACATCCATAAACGAGAAGACACTGTGCTATCTAATGGTAGGATTTCAACGTGAACCAAATATATAGATGCTAAACCTATCACCCTTGACATATAATTGTTTGCATCTGAGCAACCTGGCAGTGTATTAGCATGTTCTTATATCCATGCATGCTCTCATGTGTTTACAGACTATTCTAATTTGGCATTTACACTGTTTTCACCAAGAAACTATGATTAAATTTTATTGATCGAAACTGCCCTTTTTTTTATATAACAATCTGGTGCAGCGTCCTCATCTACAAAGTGAAGTAGTTTAAGAAAATAACCGAATGCCTCCAAAATTCATTCCAATGAATCTAAACATAGCTTATGGTATCAATACTTTTAAGTTGGCGAAGACTTTCGGGTTTCTAGCCAATCGCTGCTTCCATTCAGATGATAGCTGAATAAACTGAAATCCCAGTAATCTCATTCCACTACAAAACCGACAACCATCTACATTAGTAGGTTTGTGTAGTATAAGAATGGCATCCCTATCTTTCATAGAAAATTAATTTATTAGACATTGTAGCGTCGTGCAGATGTTCGTAATCGTCAGAATAGGGGTTATGATGATGATGATGAAGTAGTTCTTATGGTAACACAGAACCTAGAATATATTTCTTACGAAGTATGATTAACCCCCAGTATACATACCTATGGTTTTACAAAATAGAGTGAATGTAGATTAATTTCACTAAAATTTTACTTACTTTTCATTAAAACTAAAGTACTTTAAATGGTTAAAAATAATGTTGAAGTTTAATCTAAGTATACTGAACGGCAATACATCATGTGAGGTATTATTGGGTTTACGACCAATAACACCGTTAGCAATAATGAACAACAGTAAATATATGTACTTTTTGTCTATATGTATAGCATCTGTATACGTGTGTAGATACGTATGATGTTTAATACATCTCTGGTTAGGTATAATGTATATATATATATGAATTATGTTCTGTGCATTTTCTTATTTTGAGACATGATTATGCTGTTTTATTCTATGTTTAGTTATTCCAATGTGTAGTGACTCTCGAGAAAAGGATTACCGACTTGCGAGAAATGAAAGCGTTACGATTCCTTGTGTGGTCGATGCTAATCCGTCTGATGTGGAATTTTACTGGAATTTGAATAATTCACGAGAACTGGTGGACATTCATTCATTTTCTGTCAACGGTTCAAGAAGTGAACTTGTATACAGACCTAGGGGTGACAACGATTACGGAGTTTTGCTCTGTTGGACAAGAAACACTATTGGTGTACAAAAAGAACCTTGCGTATTTAATATTATATCTGTAGGTAGGTGGCGAACAAGGTCTCACACATTTAATATTATATCTGTAGATAGGTTGGTGGCGAACAAGGCCTCACATATTTAATATTATATCTGTAAGTAGGTAGTAAATAACGCCTTACAATTCACTATTATATCTGTAGATAGGTAGTGAACAAGGCCTCACACATTTAATATTATATCTGTAGATAGGTAGTGAACAAGGCCTCACACATTTAATATTATATCTGTAGGTAGGTGGCGAACAAGGCCTCACACATTTAATATTATATCTGTAAGTAGGTAGTAAATAAGGCCTTACAATTCACTATTATATCTGTAGATAGGTGGCGAACAAGGCCTCACACATTTAATATTATATCTGTAAGTAGGTAGTAAATAAGGCCTTACAATTCACTATTATATCTGTAGATAGGTGGCGAACAAGGCCTCACACATTTAATATTATATCTGTAAGTAGGTAGTAAATAAGACCTTACAATTCACTATTATATCTGTAGGTAGTAAACAAAGCCTTACATATTCAGCATTATATTCTTGGGTAGTTAGTAGTGAATAAAGCCTTACATATTCAACATTATATTCTTGGGTAGGTAGTGAACAAAGCCTTACATATTCAGCATTATATTCTTGGGTAGGTAGTGAACAAAGCCTTAGATATTCAACATTATATTCTTGGGTAGGTAGTTATTTATTAATTTAATTTTAATTTAATTATACATCTATCATCACTATTATTATACACATAATTTTATGCAAGTAACAGAGGATTATATTTTAAATATTAAGAAGTGGAGATCAAGACTGTTAATCGCTGCATGGCACTTATTAATAAAAAAAAAAATAAACCCAGTATAGCAACAACAATCTGTAAAATAATTGTACAATTAATCCACGTTAACTATTGTATTCTTAGAAGATTTATCAAAAATTAAGAAGAACATTAACATTTTAACTGCAGTCATTGAGTACAACAGATACAAGGCTTAAACTTAAAATAAGACCCAAAACTCGAGCGCTTTCGAATAGTTGACTATTCTTCTTCAGGAGAACAAAGGAACAAGGCTTAAGTATGCAAGCAAAAATAAGCTGATATGTCTAACCTAAGATAATATAATTTAAATATATAATAAATTGTAAATTATGTTAAGAAAATAAGGTTAAATATTGTGCATAAAAATAATCAAGTTTAATACTGTTGTTCCCGATGACATCGTATCTGCTCGCCACTATAGAAACAGAACAAACAAACGTAAGTCTAATTTAGTATAAAATTGCACAAATTAAGTAAAGTGTATTTTCAAAATAATTCGAAATTAATGATAATACTTGCAAGAAATAATAAACAATAGTAATTGGACTTTAAATAAAAATAAGCTTCAAGCGATATTTAATCGCCAACGCTCTCACATGGATTTCCTTCTTCTGGGTAAACTAGTCTCATAAAAGAAAAGTGACTGATTTTTTTAGCGAAGTAGTCACCGAAATAACTAAGAAAATTAAAAATAAATCGATTTTCAGCGACTAAATATTTCAACAGACAAATAGAAGTCGTCTCATCTACATACTATTATTGTATCTATTTGTGAAAGAAGTCCTTTATATACAAAATGTTCTTAATGTTGTTTTTCACAATCAATTTTACTTGAATTTTGACAAAGTCTGGTAATTTGTAGGAAGACCTCGTCCGCTGCAGAACTGTGTCCTCTTCAATATCTCGGCAAGAGGATTTTCTGTGCGATGCAAGAAAGGCTACGATGGAGGCCTGACTCAAAGGTTTCATCTAGAAATATACAGTTCGTTAAAAGAAAGAGTGTTTTCAAACATGACTCAAACTATATCACCAACGTTTCTTGCGACGAACCTGCCTCCTTCAACATCGTTCACTCTAGTGATCTATGCTTCGAATATGAAAGGAAAAAGCGTTTCTGTTATACTGACTGCAACTACAACTCCCGCAACTCAAGAACTTAAAGGTGAGCACATTTTATTAGCAAGTTTTCTAGTTGATCTATTAGACAAAATTATTTTAACTATCAGGGTTGCTACGAAATAAGTTTATGTCAAATGTATAGGTGGCGTGAGAACCATACAATCCATAGCTTTGGCAGTTTACACAAAAATTACCACAGGTGGTGTTGTAAGATTTCGTTGAAGCACAATAAATTTTATTTCATTTTAAGAATACAGTAATATCAATGTACGTCACATCAAATTCTCAATCTGCTTTTCTTCCATTTCTACAACAGACAAGGTATAACATGATGGACAGCAGCAAGAGGCGTATCCTAAACACGAACAAGTTAACATCATGCTGAAGCTTTGAACTCTGATTCCTAATGATATCACCTTATTACAAAATACGGTTACAAAGACACATTGTGTTACCACCTGTGTTTTATTTTTATACTACTTGACAAAGATGTATGCTGTAAGGTTTTCCCACCACCAACACATGCATTTTTCCATCTATTATTTTACGTTACAAGGTTCATCTCTCGTTATATCTATATGCTCCGTGGATTCTCTTTCGTTATATCAGTACGTTCCGTAAGTTATCTTTCGTTATATCAGTACGTTCCGTAAGTTATCTTTCGTTACATTTGTATAATCCATAGACATCAGCTTATAAATAACGTTAATCAGAACTACTGTACATGTTTCGTTAGATCAGTCAATACCGGAGTAAGTAGGTTTCAAGTTTACAGCACG